AAAAATAAAAAGTGGAAGAAATTAAAAGGCTTGGAAAATTGTTTATTTGTTTGTTTTTTGGTACCGGCGATCGAACTTGGGTCCTTGCGCTTGCAAGGCAGGCGGCGGAACCACTGAGCTAAATCCCCAGCCCAAGGCTTGGAAAATTGAGGGGATTGTTCTAGAGATCTTTAGAAAAATTCAAGATTTTTTATTATATCAGAAGAAAGTGCAGCTTTGTATATACAAAATGCAGTTGGGGAATATTATATATATTATATATATTATAGAATATTATATATAATTCTCAGAAAGTGGCAGACTAGATTGGAGGATATAGTTGTAAAGAAGAGCAGGAAGTATTAGAATCTGATTTTGTTGAAGGGAAACTAAACCTAGGTAAAGTGGAAAAAAAGAATTTCATATTGGAAAAAGAGATGAGATCGAGGCCTTTGTTGATTTTTCTTCAAAGGTAAACCTGTACTTGCTGAAAAAGAAATAATACTGTTTGGTCATGGAATGTTTAGGAGGCACTGTAAAAGAATGCCTTCCTGGGCTAGGGATGTAGCTCATTGGTGCTGGTGCCTGCCTGGTGACCTCAAGGTCCAGAGTTCAATCCCCAGTACAGAAAAAAGAATGGCTTCCTCTCAAGAAACAGATGTATTCAAAGGAGAAATCATTTTAGTTTTGTAAATTATGATCTCAATCAGGGATTATGATGTCCTCCTCTCTATAGCCCCAAAGGACATCCATCAGTGTCACGTCACTTCAGATTGTCACAGCTAAAGTAATGCAACTGGAATCTGGTGAGTAGAGGCAGCTCATGCTTCCAGGTATCCCAAACTGGGCTGTAGCTTTGGTGGTAGAGTACACACATTGTGTGCAAGGGCCTAGGTTCAATCACTAGCACTGCAAAAAAGAAAGGAGAGGGGAGAGGAGGGGAGGAGATCTCAAAACTCACAGTTCAGGCGTCACAACACAGAAGTACCTGACAAAAAATTGCTAATAATGCTGAGACTGAGAAACCCTGTTGTAAGCTTCTGGAGTTTTCTACAACTGCAGCATAGCCCAGCCTACCCTGACTGATACAGCAACTTAAATGTTAATTTTTTTTTTTTTGCACCAGGTATCGAACTCAGGTCCTTGCGCTTGCAGGGCAGGCAAACTTAATGTTAATTTTACTTTAATTTTATAATAGCCAGAGCAGAAAGAGTTGAGCATAACCTATCAGGTATCCTAGTAATTAGGAAGACAGAATTGGAAGAATTTTTTAAAATATGTATATGAGTATCATACCAGGAGATAAGATTTTGAAAGTGTGGCTCAAAAGCTTCTAGTTCCACTATATTTGCAAATATTTCAAATACATAAAAACCAGATAGAAAGATCTAAAACCAATGTGGTTACCCAGCAAATTCTCCAGTAAACTCAAATGCTAAAATAGAGGAGGTTTATAATCAAAAATAAATGTCTTTTACACTCTTCTAGAAATAGGATTTTTAAAACCAAGATTCAAAGTTAACATAATTTAGTCTAGTAGAAATTGCTAAGACCCCAGCAGGTTTTTTGTTGTGGTTATACTTGTAGCAAGACCAAACAAGAAATGGATTTCTTGTTTGATACTCATAAACTACATGGAGAAAGCAGAACAGCTTAGTAAGGACTCCCCATCAGCCTTGTCAGTGGCCTCTGGCTTCATCCACACCCACTACTTCCTGTTCCCTGTGAGAGCTGATTTTCCAGCATCTCTTTGAGGCAGTGGACCTTTATAGCCCCAGCTTATAAGCTTTGTATGTTGTTACAGTGTCAGAAGCCATAACTACACTTGCTGCATTGGATCACCCCTACTTTACACATTGGAAGTGATTCTACCTGTCCCTTCTTAGTAGAGCTAAATAAGGATATAATGCTGTTTGTAGGGTACTGTTCCTAATCCTTAAATATTTTCAGTCAAAGTCACACTTGGTTGATTATTCTTTTCTAAACCTGATTATGTTTATTTATATATATATATATATATATATATATATATATATATATATATATATATATATTTTTATACCCGGGATCAAACTCGGGACCTTGGGCTTGCAAGACAGGCAGTGGAACAACTGAGCTAAATCCCGGCCCTGATTACGTTTAATTCTAAATTTAAAACTCTGAAGCTTGGCATGGTGGCACATGCCTGTAATCCCAGCTTGGGGAGCCTGATGCAGAAGGATCACCATGACTTCAAGGCCAACCTGGAGTACATGATGAGTTTAAAATGAGCCTGAGAAAGGAAGGAAGGGACAAGAAAAAAAGTGAAAATAGAAGGAAAAATGGAAACAAAGCATTTGTACATAGGGAGAAAGGAAGGAAGGAAGGGGAGGGGAGGGGAGGGGAGGGGAGGGAAAAGAAAAGAAAAGAAAAGAGAAAAAAAAGAAAAGTCAGCAAGTCAGCCTGAACTCCATAGCAAGACCCTGTCTCAAAACAAAAAACAAAACAAAAAATTTAAAACTAGATTAAAGGTAAGAACAATATGTCCATGTCTTCACCATGTGTCCCTCTACTTAGTCATATTTACCTATGTCTCAAAGCAAGATACTGAGCCATAAAAATCCCAGTGTTGGCCAGGCATGGTGGCTCATGCCTGTAATCCCAGCACTGGGGAGGCTGAGACAGGAGGATTGCCAGGAGTTCAAGGCCAGTCTGGGCTACATAGTGAGACCTTGTCTCAAAAAACAAAACAACAAAATCCCAGTGTTTCTGTGACCATAAAAATTCCCTTGGATGGATGAAAATTTCCTCGTCATATTATTCAGACTGTATTGTCTACTTATCCAAAGTATTTGTTAGATTTCATTACCTGTATCATGTCAGAGTCACCAAATCCACACTGTAAATAACTTGGATGGTCAGTGTAAATATTCATAGAAGAATTACTGCCAAGCAGTGGTGGCATGACAGTGATCTTTTTGTACAATCACCTTTTAGTCCCCACTGTTTTATTGAGAGGCAAGAGACTTAGCAAAAGTAGAAACCATACTAATGGTATGTTCTCTCTCAGTGTAACTCAGTCTAGTGGTAAGAATCTTTTTTTTTGTACTGGGGATCAAACTCGGGTCCTTGAGCTTGCACTTGCGCAGCAGGAGGCAAAACCACTGCGCTAAATCCCCGGCCCTAGTGGTAAGAATCTTACCTGATGTGTTCTCTTTAATGTTTTCATTTTAATGAGGTGGGATATATAGCATTTAGATAACATACTTGAATTATTTATTAATCTCAATAATTTGTAAAGTATTTCAATGAAAAGTTCTGAAATTAAATCTGGAGTAATGGATTAATGATAAAGTGAGATAAAATTTAAGAAAAGAGTTTGCAATATAATATGGCTTTTAAAGATTGAAATGTATTTTATAGATTCCTAATTTTTCATGTGTTGTACTAAATTAGTTTTTTATTAGTTTTATGTATAGTATTACATTGTCAGAGTATTGGGCTTAAAAAATAAAGACCCCCAAAGAATTGACAAGTCACAAAATAATACAGACAGCAAATAAACATTCTTAAAAATGTAAATATTACTAAAATGTCAAGCTGCCATTTTACTCTGTTAAAAGGCTTTTGATGTTTTCTGACAAAAGTGTGATACATCTTCATTATTAAAAAATAAGGCTGAGCGTGGTGGCATACACCTGTAATCCCAGCACTTGGAAGGCTGAGGCAGGAGAATCACTGTGAGACCACAGTGAGTTCAGCCTGGACTACATAGTGAGTTCAAAGCCAGCCTGAACTACATAGTGAGACCCTGTCTCAGAGAGAGAGAGGGAGAGGGAGAGGGAGGGAGGGAGAAAGGGGGGGGGAGAGAGAGAGAGAGGAGAGATAAGATACATATAAAAGAAAAGAAAAAATTATTAATTCATATTCCCATCACATTATGTTTATGTCTTCTTGTCTCCATGCTTAAAATTTATCTACTAGCCTCCTGTTGATGCACACTTGAAGGCTTTTTTTTTTCTTGTGAGTAATGCTGTCGTAAACATCCTGTGTGTGAATCTTTTTGCGAATCTGATTGTTTTGTTAGGACCAATTCCTAGAACTGCTATTGCTGACTCAAAGCCTGTTGCACTTTTAAGGCTGTTGATTATCTGTTGCCAAACTGCTGACCAGCACAGGTTATATCAAGTCTGTGAGAGTACTGGTTTATCAATTCTCTTATGCATATAGTTTATGTTTTTCCTTTTTATCTTTGCCAAGACATGAAACTCCAAAATGGTATTTCATTGTTTCAGTTTGTGTTTATTTGATCAATAATCAGGATTTACTGTATGACATAATAAAAGACTATGAATTAAAGAAATCTTTTTATTGTAAGAGTTGAAAGTGTAACTCAGTTGTAGAGTACATGCTTAACATGCACAAGGCCTAGGTTCAAACATCAGCACCAAAATATATACATATATACATACATACGTACATATGTACATATATACATCTATCTCATTGCCATATTTTTTATGAGAAAAACCCAAAATGTACACACATGTAACAGTTCAACAAAAAGAAAAGTTAAATAGGGCCGGGGATATAGCTCAGTGGTGCTGCTCCCTGCCTTCCTCACAAGCTCAAGGTCCTGAGTTCGATCCCGGGTACCAAAAATTAAAAAAAGTTAAATAAATTATGATACTTCTAAACAACCAACTAGGCAGCTATTAAAATAGTCCACGTATGAAGTATTTTTACTGACATAGGAAAAATATTAGATATTTGATATTCAAACAAGGAACATGAACAGATAAAGTGAGAAAGATTCTGGTAAACCATAAAAAGCCAAGTGTGGGCTAGGGATTTAGCTCAGTGGTGCTGCCGCTTGCCTTGCAAGTGCAAGATCCTGAGTTCATTCCCCAGTACCAAAAAAAAAAAAAAAAAAAAGCCAATTGTTTTTTAAAATATACACTTGCTTGTGAAACTCTTGTTGGAATCACTTGAAAATGTAATGCTATTTATGCTTCTTTTTTTTTTTCTTTTTTCATTTTTAGGTTGCAGCTGTTGATCTTCTGGTACCTGTAGTTGGGGAGCTTTTTGGTGGCAGCCTCAGGGAGGAACGGTACCATATCTTAGAACAGCGACTGGCCAGGTACTGATCAAACCTAATAAAAACATATTTCAGAAACCAGGGTGGAAGTACACAAAGGTAGTTCCAGCCGAGTAACAAAGAAAAATATTTGGGTCCCACACCAGACAGATGGGATCTCAGATTCCCTGTGACCGTGAACAGTGTTTCTAACCGCTCTGAGCTCTCCCCCGTCTTTTTTTTTTCTAATTTTTATTAGTACTTATTTGCAGTACATAATGATTACATTCATTGTGGGGAGTTGGTACATGCATATAACACATCTTAATTTATTTTTACATCACCTTCCCCTTAAATATCACAGAGTTTTGTCACTAGGTTAGGTCTGTGGTCCCCAATCAATCCTGAAACAAAAAACTTACTTAACCCACCGTTTTACAGTAAGTTTCCAGGTTCACTGACTTCTGTCATGGAAGAAGAATTTTCAGGATACATTAGTGAAAGAGACATGAGAAGGTTTATTACAAATAGAAATATAGGACGCATTCGAAGAATGGAATGCAGGTGCTCAGAGAAATGAGACACTGAGCTTCCCTTTCTTAAAGACTGGAACTGTTGTTATAAGAAACAATTCCACAACAGTATTTGCCCACTCTTTGTAAATGCCTCTCCCCTCAGAAAATAGCTTTTAAAACCTTAATAAAAGGAAGAGGCAGATTGCTTTCTCAAAGCTTGTCCTTGTCTACATTTTCCTCTTACCTCTGTTCTTTTTTATGTACTCTTACTCATGAATGCCAGATTCCCACTGGGACATTAAGACAGACTGAACCAGGAAAAGGATAAAGATAGAAAAAGAAAACTAAGGGCCGGGGATTTAGCTTAGTGGCACTGCTCTTGCCTCACAAGTGCAAGATCCTGAGTTTGATCTCTAGTATCAAAAAAAAGAAAACTACTAGAAATATCTATGAAGCTAATGTTTAGAATAAGCAGATTTCCCTCCTCAGGTTCTCTACTGTGTACAGGTCTTGGCTTAGCTCTTTGAATAACTTTATTTTATCTTGCTGTTTGAAACCTTGGAAATAAATCCATAAACACATAGAAAAGTGTTTTGGAGAAGGGAAGTAGGGAATCATATTTCTAATTGAACTACCACTCCTGTATATACATGGTCTGCCAACAAACCACAATGACTTCCTAAACTAAGCAAGGTTGTAAACCTCTGTTTTCCATGATTTCCACTTTTCCTTGCCAGATTTTAAAAAAAAGTTCCATGTCTGTATGCTTGATTCTTCTCTCCAGATAATACTAGGTTTCATCGTAACTGGAAAAGCCATAATTGTTTGAAAATATTCTGTTAAACTAGCCATTTGTAAGGCCTTCTTTTCCTGATGGAGAAATTCTTTAAAAGTTTATGCTTTTCCAAGATCCCAACCTATGTATCTCTTGGGTAACTTAGTTTTTAATCACAATCTTATTTTTCCCCCCCGGTACCAGGGATTGAACTCAGGACCTTGTGCTAGCAAGGCAGGTGCAGTGCCACTGAGCTAAATCCCCAGCCCCATAATCAGGATCTTTTGAGCTGCTCTGTTGGCTTAGACACCAGAAGAAAGGGAATAAATAGGTTCTAAGAAGACCCCTTTATCAGTTAGGCACTACCTATTTACTACTACCATAGTGTCAGAAAGTCGTGAGAAAGTTGTAGAATTGAAGTAAAGGTCAGACTCTTTAGATGGAAAGAATTTGATCATTCTCTGGGGTTTTTTTAAAGCACAATAAAAATTACACATGGTAAGAAACCCTCATCTGTTGAAAGATTAATTGGTCTGTTTTCTTTGCTTGCTTCCTTCCTTCAGGAAACCTTTCCTCATAACATTAAATGTTTACCTAATATCTGATAATATCCAACTTTATCTTTCCTAATGAAATAGATGTGTTTTCTTATCTCAGGAATCTGTCTGTGGCTACTGGTCATGTTGTCTCTAATTTTATATATTTAAATTTTTCTGTGTCCTTAACACTTCAGGTATAATTTGATCCCAAACACTAACTGACTGAGATAAATTTTAATGACCACTGAGAGCCTAAAATTTGTCACATCTCTTAAATTAGACAAGAACCAAACTGCAACAATATTAGGAAGGCAGCCTCAGAATTTGTACTATTCTTTCAGTGTTGTAGAAGGAAAGTTGTGTCCACGTGCCCCTGGTCTCTGTGTGCCTCCCAGCCACTTTAACTAGTAATAATAGTGCTTTTTTTTCTACAACAGAACAATATGCTCATCTCAGATGAATCACATCTTTTGGGTTCTATCTTCATGTTAAAGCATTTGTTGTCTTTACCACTTGTTTCCTGATAGCTTGGGCAATTTATTAATTTTACTGTAAAATTTTAGCTTCTCCACTGTATTGTATGTTATTGGAGAACACAGGATGTATTGTGTACTTCTTTACAAAGAGCTCTTTGCTCACAACCCACAATAAATGTTTAGTGTTTGATATCTTATTGCCATTGCCTGAAACAATTCTATTACTTTCCTTTTACAGATTAGGACTTACAGAAGTCTACCAATGGTAAGAATGTCACCCTTAGTGATACTCTAGCTACCTGTCTTAATGTTACATAGATTTTTAAATTTTATTCCAAAGACCCTGTGGAAGAATGTTAAGAACTGAACAGGAGCCTCTAAATATTGTTTGCTCCCTTTAAAGGCCTTGTAAAATACTAAAAATAATGATTACCATTTAATTATTACTTATTATGTGTCAGATAACAATGTTAACATTTGTGTATGTAATATCTCATGTAATCTTAACTGTACTCTGAGAGGTAAGTACTATTACCACCTCCCTTTTATTACTTTTCTAAGCCTACCATCTAGATATGTGACTAACCAAGATCTCACAGAAGTAGGCAGCTGAAAATTGATCTCTAAATCAACTTTTGCTCCTAACCATTATAGTTCAGTTTCTGTGTGTGTGAAATTGGAGACCTGATTTAAGTGATCCTGAGTACTCTTAAAAACTATATAAGGGGAGGGAATTTAGCTCAGTGGCAACGTGCTTGCCTCACAGGTGCAGGGTCCTCAGTTTGATCCCCAGTTCTGGGAAAAAAAACTATACAAATCTGAGCTTATTTGTTGTCTGCACTCATACATTTCACTTCCCCAAAGTTGTTCTGGTTTTCTTTCTGCAGACTCTTTGTTCAAGTCTTTCCCAATATAGATAAATGATCTACTTATATTTCTGTAATCACATTCCTTTAGAATCTTGGTATAGTAATAACAATATCATTAATCCATTGCTGGCCTCACGAGGAGGAACAGACAAATGACACATTTGACTTAGTAATAAAAGGATTAGATTTCAGAGATGCTAAAATCAAGTTCAGTTACCAGTAATGACCTTAGGCACACTTAATCTCTCTGAGAGTCTTGATTTTCATGACTATAAAATGGAGTGGAAATCCCTGCTTGAGAGAGTTGTGAGGATGAAATGAAATATAGGTTAGGGATGCACACTCTGTGGAAGCTCAGTAAATGCTAGTTTCCTGCCCCCTTTCTGCCTTTGTTCTGAGTCTTGGTATTTAATAAAAAAGCCTGACTGAGCAAACTTACTCATTTTTTCTTTGGAGTCTTTCTGTGAGATAACATTCATACTGTGTAAAAAACTAGTTTAACTTAATAAAAAGTTAATTATTGGTTAATAATTTAGGCTTTTTCTGGTCTTTATTAGTCATTTCAATACTCTCCTTTTCCCAACTGAAGTTTCCACACTTAAGATCTCCAAATATAAGTATTTATGATTTGAATTTGTAATTCTTTTTATATGGTAATCATAGTATAGGTAAACAGATCTTAGAAGGGCTGGAGATGTGCCTCAGCTGCATAGCACTTGCCTACGATGAGCAAGGCCCTGGGTTTAATCCCCAGTATTGTTTTCAAAAAAGAAGACCTTAGAAATCTGCAAGTCTGTGATCTGTACAAGTCTTCCTCCACACTATGAGTAGCCACACCAAATGTCTCAGAATGTACTTACTTCTTATTTCTACATGCGATATGCAAATAAAATCTGTAACTACTTGTACAAATTTTGTAGCATCTCCTCTATATCTGGTTACCCTAGAATCAATTTAACAACAATCAAATATATATATATATATTTTATATATATGTATGTTAGCTTTTTTTCTTAGAAGTGGATTTTTCCATCAAACTGATAAACTGAATCCTCTGCTGAATTCAGTTTGTAGACATTCATGTCAGTGTTTTGCCATCTGTGTATGAGAAATTTAGAGACACATAAAACTCATTGGACTTCTAGCAGCAAGCTCAGATGCTGGGTGTTTATGACAAGAGGTTTGTTGTGCCTTTCAACTCATTTGTTACTAAATCACAGTGTATCCTGTCCCCGTGCCTTATAAAGTTAAAGTGAATTCAATTATTAAATATTTTAATTACTCGAGACTTCCATTATTCCTCACAGTTCTTACTGAGCTGAAGTTTTATACTAAATGACCTGTCATAGTGATCCCTCTCCTGATTCTAGTTCATCTAGTTGCAATTCATCTTTTATTTTAGAAAAATACATACATACTCCCAACTCCCTAAGATATAACTACATCTAGGCATTATTATAATAGTGGAACAACAGATGATAGGCAGTCTTTATGTCTGAGGAGCTAAATGGTCACCACCTGTGGAGCTTAAGTCTTATTGTAGAACTGATTTTACAAATCATTCAGAAGCTATTTTTTCAAAAGCTATAAACTTACTTGATTCGTGCCGTATAACTCAAGAATTTCTATACCAAATGACATAATTTTTTTAAAAAAAAATTTTTTTTGAGGCAGAGTCTCACTTTGTAGTTCAGGCTGGCCCTGAACTCACTATAACCCAGGCTGGCCTCGAGCTCATGGCAATCCTCCTGCCTCAGCCTCCCAAATGCTGGAATTACAGGTGTGTGCCACCACACCCAGCATTATTAAAATATTTATTGTTTTCCTATCCTTCCTAAAATATATTTGCTCCATGCTAGTATACTGAAATCTGAATTTCAGTCATGCCTGTACCATTTCTTGGAAAAGGGATAACATCTTTCATGTAGACTTCAGTAGAAATAGAGCATACATGCATGGATGAGTATTAAAGGCCATGCAGCCTGTCAGAAAAATTACCTGGGCATCTTCACTGGGCCAGAAGCAGTGAGCTGTACATCTCTTTCTCTATAGCACTCAAGAATGTATTTTGATCCCTTCAAACAATCAACTTCCATTTAATAAGCTCTTTCTTTGGAACATTCTCTAAAGATAAAAAGATAGATTGAGACCAGCCCCCCCCTCAATGTGGTTTACAGTCTAATCTTTTTGTAATGACCAAATAAAACTCTTCATTCTCCTTTATGTCTTGAACAGTATGATTTGGTGGGACTGGAGGAGCATTTGTATTAACATTCCAAGAAATAGAAGAGAAATATATTTTCAAGAAAACTAGTAAAGCTGTTAAAAAAAAAACAAAAAAGAAAGAAAAAGGATCAAGTGACCAAAGTACATGACTGCACAGCAACATCTACTGTTGCTTGTCTGAGTGACTTTGGATAGATAGATTGCTTTAACTTCTCCATTTCCATTATCTCTGGCGAGGAAAGACTGATCTGCTCTACCACAATGATGTGGATAATAACAAATGATTACAAAATGTTTTTGAAACATAACATTAATCATAACATTTCATCTCATGTGTTGCTCATAGATGATGATTCTCTGTTTTTAAAAATAGGTATCTGGACCTTCGTCGATTTGGATCTGTGCCACATGGAGGTTTTGGGATGGGATTTGAACGCTACCTACAGTGCATCTTGGGAATTGACAATATCAAAGATGTTATCCCTTTTCCAAGATTTACTCATTCGTGTATTTTATAACTGAAAGTTTGGTTAAAGAATAGTGCCCTGTGACAGAGGCACTGTACATGTATATGCATAAAGAAGACTGCATTTTTGAATTTTAGAAATGTGAAATTCAGTACATAATTGTTTCACCATAAGATAAAAATGTATGAAAAGTAAAAATGATCACGATTTTCTTACAAAGTCAAGGACATTGCATGGAAAAAAATGATCTCCCTCTGAAAGAGGTACTTATAACAAGTGGACTTTCAGATCTATTACTTCAGTTCAGAAAAAGAAGTAACCAAGGCTGTAATCCCAGCTCATTGGGGACTGAGGCAGGATCACTTGAACCCTGGAATTCCAGGGCAGCCTGAACAACATAGCAACACCCATCTCAAAAAAAAAAAAAGAAGAAGAAATGAAGAAAATGAACTAGATAGATGGTCTCGAAGGTCCCTTCAGACTGCAAGACAAGCTGAAACAGTATATTCTACTTTCTTTATTCAGTAGATCACTTTCTTCTGTAACTTTTGAAAGAAACAACAGCTAAAAAAATGTTGTATCTTTTTTCCCTTGCCACTTAACCTGTGATAAATACCCATCTTACTGTCAGTGCTTTATTAAACTTAACAGAAGAAAATACTCTTTTTTAGGCTCTTAGTTGATTTAAGTAAGTTGCTATTCTGAATTGAAGTCATCTTTCCTTGGTCTGGGTGAAAAAAAAAATAACTATTGATCTTTAATTGTAAAAGCTAATGAGGTATTGCATTATTTAAACTATAATAATTGTTCTAGTTATACTACGTTTGTAACTTCTCTAATAGTTAATAAAATAAATTTTTAAAATAGACCCTTATGAAAAAAGTTGGTTTTTTTGTTGGTGTTTTGTGTTTTGTTGTTGTTTGCTTTTTGAGGCAAGGTCTTGCCATGTAGTTCAGGCTGGCCTCGAACTCACTGTCATCCTCCTGCCTCAGCCTCCCAAGTGCTGAGATTACAGGCTTGCACCACCACACTTGGCTGAAAAAAGTTGTTTTGAAAATTTTCATCTTTTCACAGTATAATTTAGAAGAAAAATATCTTTAATCCAAGATAGAAATGGAAATATGGCTAAGCCTAAAGAATGGTTAATTCTGGAATCAAAAAGTGGTGTGACCTAATAGAATGAGATTTGGGGATTTGAGACCTGACAATTATAGTGTTTTGGACAATCTGCTTACTCTCTGAAGGTCAAGTATCATTTTCTTCACAGAGTTCATACAGTAATTACATGAGTGTGTGTGTGTATGTAAAACTGATACTGGGAGCAGGCACAGTGATGCATGGTTGCAATCCCTAGCTACTCAGACTGAGATGGGAAGATCACAAGTTCAAGGCCAGCCTAAGCAACTTAAAGAGACCCTGTTTCAAAATAAAAATAATAGGGCCAGGGATTTAGCTCAGTGGCACCATGCCTGCCTCGCAAACACAAGGTCCTGAGTTCGATCCCCATTACTGCAAAAAATAAATAAAAATAATAAAAAGGACTGGGGATTTAGCTTAGTTATAGAACACTTGTCTAGTGTATTAGTGAGCTTTCTGATGCTGCACAACACATCTTGAAAAGAGGTTTAATTTGGTTCATGGTTTCATTCCATCATCAGCTGGTTCCAAGGAAGAAATGTCATGGTGGAAGGGTGTAGTGAAGC